GAGACCCCTGCATTAATAGGTAGCCCGTGACTGGACAAATTCTGGGCCAGGCCGGCATCTGTGTATAGTCCTTATAGTTATCTGTAGAGCATATGCAGTAATGGGAATAAATCTGTTTCAATATAATTGCATATAGTGGTTGTTCTCTTTCTGCAATTAGAACTGATCATCAAACTTTTTTTAAATAAGGGTTGCTAAAACTTGAGATTTCCCCTGTGTGCGATGGGATGAGTGGTTGTCTAACTCCTGAGCTGCTTCCAGTGAAGCCCTTTCCAGAAGGTCGAACTCGTCTAATGAAAGAGATTCTTGAGTTTCCGATGAAGGAAGTTTATGTTCCACACACCACCTACAGGTATGAATAAGACTTACCAGAAGCATGCATTTGTCATATGTTGTCTTTGATTGTATCTGGACAGGAAGTAGCAGAAGACGTGTTAGTAATTCATTTTAGTAATAATGAAAAAGTGGAGAATATAAGTCTAAGGGAAATAAAGTTTGAATATACTGTAAATCATAGACTTGAGGATGAGCTGCATAATGGTTTGGAAGCTATGGGAGAACAAGGAACTGCAGGATGGTATATGGTTCCTCCACTACAAGAAGATTTTGTAGGAATATTATTATTATACAGGATTTATATAGCGCCAACAGTTTGCTCAGCGCTTTACAAAATAAAGGGAGACAATACAGCAACAGTATTAAACAATCTCTAAATATCACCCAAACCGTACTCTCCGCTCCTCGGAAGACCTCCTGCTCTCTAGCTCCCTTGTCTCCTTCTACCATGCTAATCTCCAGGACTTTTCCAGAGCTTCCCCCATTCTCTGGAACTCTCTACCCCAATTTATCAGACTATCGCCTACTCTGCTCACTTTTAGGCGATCTCTGAAAACCTATCTCTTCAGGGAAGCCTATCCTGCCGTCAGCTAATAATGGAATCTTCTACTCTTCCTACCAGTACATCCCCCACAGTTACTACTTTTGTACCACTAGCCCCTCCCTCCTAGATTGTAAGCTCCAAGGAGCAGGGCCCTCCTTTCCCTCTTGTGTATTGAACTGTATTGTTGCTGTATTGTCTCCCGTTCTATTGTAAAGCGCTGAGCAAACTGTTGGTGCTATATAAATCCTGTATAATATAATAATACAGTTCAATACAAGAGGGTTAGGAGATCAATTCATTGCTTTCTGTAAAATTATTTATTGTCCAATACAGTTTCCATTATGCTTTGCTTATTCCTCACACTATGCCTTATCCACTGCATTACAGTACATACGTATATGTAAAACTATAATAAGATTTATTTAATACACACCTTGCACTGTACATTAGGCAGAACTTTATGTACTACTCTATATGATGTTACACTATATAGATTACTGTATACATTAGAAAATGCACTGTATGCTGGACAATAATGTACAAATATACATTTAATATTTTCTGCTAAGTGATACATGCAAGAGTTGTATAAAACAGAGACATAATGATGATCGATCGACTATGCACAAGGAAGACATAGTAATTTGTTCTTAAATAAAATTACTATCATCTGCCTAGGGCAGGTTAACAGTGTGTTTAGCTAGAATTATCAACTCTATAACACATTTGCCATCTACTCTAATAGGTTTATGATATTATGTTGTGCATAGCGCACATTGAAAGACACCACAGCCCTATAGTTCACCCTGATGCCTTTCATCCAAGTGAGCTTTCCTTGTAATATCTAAATAACTGCTTGTCTTTGACTAACATAATTATGAACTAGAGAATTCAAGATGTTGGAATTGGTTTTGTTTCAGACATGACCTCTGTGAAGCTTAAAGCCCGATTACAGGAAAAGTAAAAATTCTCCCTTACAGTGGACCTGCCTCTGCATTGCAAGGGTTAAATGTTCTTCTATATACAGGAGACAGAAAAGCAGTTTTACATATCCAATCCCCTGCTTCTCTGGCAGATGCCCCCTTCCATTCATGCTCCGGTATTGAACTGTCCCTTGACATCCTTACATCCAATGCAGGGCTATGGACCCTACATTGGTCTTGGTGACATCAAAAGGCATCTGACTGTCAGATAACAGGGGAGAAGTGGCTGCAGTGACTAGTCTTGCAGCATAGAGGAGCTTGCAGGAGCACATGATCAGGTAAGTAAAAGTGCTTTTCTTGGCCCACTAGAAATAAATGAGCTTTTACCCTTGCACTCACAGCTCCACTGCAGGGGGTATTTTTACTTTCCCTGGAGTTCAGCTTTAAAACTAAAGGCAAACATTTTTAGAACCTCTATAAGAATTTTAATGCTGCCTGCCCCCCCCCCCCCCCCCCAGGTAGAGTCTCTCTAATTGTCCTGATAACCAGTGATACCTGGAATGACAGTAAATCTGAAATTGTGAGTTGCCACCACAACAGGAATATAAGGGACATCTTCTAGAGCAGTGGTTCTCAACCTTCCTAAATGCCGTGACCCTTTAATACAGTTCCTCATGTTGTGGTGACCCCCAACCATAAAATTATTTACCCAGTAATTATAATTCACGAGTGTCGTTTTTACCTCCAATACTGCTGCTTTCAACACAGTAGCTGCTTTTAACAGAGTAGCTGCTTTCAACACAGCAGCTGCTTTCTACACAGTAGCTGCTCTTTACACATCGGAAAATATGTGTTTTCTGATGGTCTTAGGGGACCCCTGTGAAAGGGTCGTTCGACCCCCAAGGGGTCGCGACCCACAGGTTGAGAACCACTGTTCTAGAGGGACATTTGTTCCAGTGACATCTGTCTAAAAGGGGGTATCCCTCACATTAGAAAGGTATCCTGTAATTTTCTGCTGAGTCTACTGTACAGGACAGGAAGAGAAGGGGAATCTATCTAACGCAGATGAAAAAGAAAAAAGTAGCAGCAACAGTAACAGGTTTTAAACTTCCCCTACGTTCTCCATAAAATTACTTTATATATACTTTAAAATATGTAATTACTTGTAAAATGTATAAAATAAAAAATTTATAAAATAAAACACATGGCAATACACACCTGATAGTATATGCATTTCCGTAGCTTTAGTCCTCATGCACACTGAACGTATTTACAGCTGCTGTTTTTTTGGCTTTTTGACGTTTTTTTCTACAGCCAGTAAACTCCCCAGCATGTTATCCTATGTGTCCATACACACATGGACTGTAATCAATGTTTTTTGGCAGGGACATTTTTTGGCTGGAAAAAAAACCCAGGACTAGTGGGTTTCTAGAGGAGTTTTTTAGCTGTAAAAATGTGGCAACACGTAGTAAATCACGGCAAACCAGCGTTTTTGGGCTTTTTTTGACTGAAAAAAACCCCTCTAAAACACACGAAAAAACGCAAATGTGAAAAAACGCTAATACAAAAGTGCTAAAAAATGCTGAAAAACTCAAGTTTTTAACATGACTTTACACAGCCAACGTTACCAGCGTTATTAAAACACCCAGTGTGCATGGAGCCTTACACTGACACAGAGCTGTGTATTCAAGGTGGTGATCTAACAGCAGGATATAAACAGGCTTTCATTTACTACCATTCCATTCATTTTGCTGTTAGAAGAACTGATACTGCCAGAGCTGTATTTAGACATCATGCATCTCTAGACACACCTGAATGATTATTATTATTGTTATTATTATACAGGATTTATATAGCGCCAACAGTTTGCTCAGCGTTTTACAATATAATGGGAGACCATACAGCAACAATACAGTTCAATACAAGAGGGTTAGGAGGTCCTTGGAGCTTACAATCTAAGAGGGAGGGGCTAGTGGTACAAAAGGTAATAACTGTGGGGGATGGACTGGTAGGAGTAGTAGAAGATTCCATTATTAGCCGAAGGTAGGATAGGCTTCCCTGAAGAGATAGGTTTTCAGAGATCGCCTAAAAGTGAGTATAGTCGGCGATAGTCTGATAAATTGGGGGTACAGAGTTCCAGAGGATGGCGGAGGCTCTGGAGAAGTCCTGGAGACGAGCATGGGAGGAGGGGGACAAGGGATCTAGAGAGTAGGAGGTTGTGTGTGAGGAGCGGATGATGTCCTTTGGTACATGCTCAGCCCCTTGTGTCATCCAGTAAATTTATTAAAAACTAATGTATGTGCAAATAGATGCTGTATGCTGCCTGCTTTATATTCATGGCTATTTTAAACTATACAGACCATCAGACTGGAGACAAAAGAGATCGTTTTATGTTTCTTGAACTACAGAGAATCTTCTGAACCCTCTCAGCCTCTCTTGCACACACTTCCTTTGCTGGATCAGAGGTGGCCAGGGGAATGTGGCCACCCGCTGCTCTAGGCATTGGCTTACAGTTGTTATTAGGGTAAATACAGCACTGATTAGTGTTCTAATTAATCCCACAGATATCAGCATTGTTAAATCTTTAAACGGGTAATAAACCCCAAAATAAACATGCATTATATTTTTTTTAAGATTTTTTTTCCTCATTTTTAATTGTTGATCTGGCCTGTAAGTCTGATATTTTTCAACTTCCTATAACAGACAGTAGAGCTTTTCTTCATTTATGTAAAACCTTTAATTCAAAAAGGAAGAAAACATTGCTATATTTGCTTTTGTTGGCGTTAGATGGAGTTCAATTTGTGATTCAAGTCTGTCTAAATCTGCTAGTCAAATACTACCTTCTCCCCAGAATGATAATGCTGCTGTTCAAAGGTCTCTCCTCTATCTACAATGGAGACCTAAGACAGGAAGTGTGTTCTTGGTCAGATCACTAAGGGAAATAAAGGGGGAAAAAAAAGAGAATAAAAAAGTAAATCAATTCAGCTACCACATTCAATGAATGGTTAGCTGCAGTATACTGTATGCATGCATTCCCTGTATTAAAGTGTTACTAAACCCACAACAGTAAAATCAGTCTGTATATACAGATACATCGCTTTGGTTTAACAGCGTATTGTAGATAAGTAAATTAAATGTAACCGGTGTTTACAACAATTTGTTAAATAAACCCATAATAATTTAAATGTAAAGTGTTACTAAATCCACAACAGTAAAATCAGTCTGTATATGCAGTAAAGCATGCGTGTTATACTCACTGTGGAACTTAAGGGGTTAATCCTCTGCATTGTGTAAAAAGGCTGTTTGATCCTGTCTTCTCTGATCCTCCCCTTCATCCAGTGCCCCTCTCTTATTTCCTGATAAGACATATTACGTGGAGACACTCTGCACATCCTCAGTTTGGTGTGTATTGCTAGAGAGGGTTTTTTTTTCTTGGGAGGGTGCATGTTATCAGCACAGGGCCAATCAGTCCAGATAGAGGTCAGGGATCCTGCATCCTCTTACAGCAGAATGAAAACTCCTCCTACAACCTTTAACATGTGCTCTGCTTGACACTGATAGAAGTCACAAGACTTCTATATACTGCTGATGAGAAAAGGTATTTAGCAGTTTATATTTACTAAAATAATTGCATTTCTATGTTCTGTGTACTGTGGGAGACCAGATATAGTGAATGCAGGGTCCTGGATTTAGTAACACTTTAAGGCAAAAAAAACAGTTTTGCCACTGGCTCTCCTGCATCCATCACTCACCTGGCTCCTCTTGGAGCCCAGGACCAGCGTAAGCCAGTTCTGGATTTGATCCTATCTTCTCTGATCATCCCCTTCTTCTAATGTCTCCCTCCTATCTCCTGATAAGACATACCGTGTGGAGTCACTCTGCACATGCTCAGTTTGGTGTGTATTGCTAGAGAGGTTTTTTTTTCTTGGGAGGGTGCATGTGATTAGCACAGGGCCAATCAGCACTGTCCTGACAGAGGTCAGGGGTCCTGTATCCTCTTACAGCAGAATGAAAACTCCTCATACACGCTTTAATATGTGCTCTGCTGGACACTGATGAAAATTCTTCCTACATGCTTTAACATGTGCTCTGCTGGACACTGATAGAAGTCACAAGACTACTATATTCTGCTGATGAGAAAAGGTATTTAGCAGTTTATATTTACTAAAATAATTGCATTTCCATGTTATGTGTACTGTTAAAGATTGGGTGTAGTGAATGCAGGGTCCTGGGTTTAGTAACACTTTAAGGCAAAAAAATGTTTTGCCACTGGCTCTCCTGCACCAATCACTCACCTGGCCCAGCGTAGGCCAGTTCTGGATAGGAAATTGTAGGAGGACAGTGAACATTTCTTAATAGTATCTCAGACAAATCAGCAGTGAATTGGGACAGGGTAAAAGGCTACAGCACATCAAGAAGTGCAGACTGAACCCCCCATGTCCAATTGTGCCAAGGATTCTTTTATTTAATCAAAGCAGAATGGACATCTATTGACTTTACATAAGACACGCTGAGGAAATGAAGCAGACAGAGTTGTACAATGCATATCTGTTTGGACAGTGAATCATGAGTATACGCTCTCACCACAAGCTGAAACTTAGAACAAAGAACCTGTGGTCAAATCTTTGAATGACAATTGCGCGGTCATGCAACACAGTACCCATATGACATTTTTATCATTTTATTCACACAGATACAGTTTTCTTTTGGTGCTATTTAATCACCACTGAGTTTTTTATTTTTTGCTAAGTAAAACAAAAAAAAAAAAAAACCTGAAACTTTTGAAAAAAACACACTTTTCTTTGTTTCTGTTATAACATTTTGCAAATAAATAACATTTCTTCATAAATTTAGGTCAAAATGTATCTGCTACATTTCTTTGGTGAAAATAATAATAATAATAATTGAATTTGTATTTTTTTTCAAATGTTTCTATTTTTTTTTATTTTCTATAGAATTTTTTCTTTTTTTTACTATTTTATTTTTCAGCACACTGTGACCAAAGCAATACAATGTTACCATAGTAACATTGAACTACTCTGGTCAAGTGATCAGGATTTTTTTTTTTTAACACATTATGATTGCTAATACCAATGTATTTCATTGATATTTGCAGTCATTGTTACTGAATTAAACCGATTGCCTCTCGGGGGATCAGGAAGGAATTTTTTCCCCTGCAGGAGCAAATTGGATCATGCTTTGCTGGGTTTTTTTTACCTTCCTTTGGATCAACTGTGGGTGTAGGATTATAACTTTTTGTTTTGTTTTTCTTTATGGTTGAAATAGATGGACTTTTGTCTTTTTTCACCCAGACTAACTATATAACTATGTAACACAAGTATTTAGTTTTTCTAATATATTTTTGTAACAATTGTTAAAAAATAGATACAGTTCCTATATGTATTGACATTTCTTTTCATGTAGACCTGAAAAGTTAAGCCCTGTTCAGATTTCGCATCGCGGGAATGAGTGTTCCCGTTTGTGTTTCTGAAAGCGTGATTTACATGTGTTTCCACATGTCACACATATGGCAGCCCATTCACTTCAATGGGCTGCCCTATGTATGTTTGTCGTCCAAACGAAACTCCTTTTTGAGTGACAAGTTTAGCGCAATTTTTAAAAGTGTGTTTTCCTGCAATTGCTGTGTGATACTCTTGCTCGACAGTTGTGGCAGAATCACACCATGTTGCATGTTTTGCCACAAATTATAATTCCAGATTACCTGTAAGACCCAGTCCATATTAGGCAATGTCAACTCAGAGACTTTGATCTGACAAATTCATCCTTTAAGTGTTACTAAACCCAGGACCCTGCATTCACTATATCCGGTCTCCCACAGTGCACACAACATGGAAGTACAATTATTTTTGTAAATATTAACTGCTAAATACCTTTTCTCATCAGACATTAGAGCAGTCTTGTGACTTCTATCAGTGTCCAGCTCAACACTAGCTAAAGCTTGTAGGAGGAGTTTTCTTTCTGCTCTAGGAGGATGCAAAACCCCTGACCTCTGTCTGACTAGTGCTGATTGGGCCTCTGCTGATCACATGCACTCTCCCAATAAAAAAAAAATCCTCTCTAGCAATACACACTAAACTGAGCATGTGCATGCCTACAGCTCAGTCTGGAGATAAGAGGTGGATGCTTGAAAAAGGGGAGGAACAGAGAAAAAAGGATCAAACTGCCTTATTACACAATGCAGAGGATTAACCCCTTATGTTCCACATCGAGTATAACAAGCATGCTTTACTGCATATACAGACAGATTTTACTGTTGTGGAATTAGTAACAATTTAAATTCAAATTATTATGGGTTTATTTAACTTTATTTTTTAAAGCGGAGTTCCACTCACGCTGTCAAAAAATAAAAGTCAGCAGCTACAAAAACTGTAGCTGCTGACTTTTAAAAAACAGCCACGTACCTGTCCCTCGGTCTCGTGGTGTATCCCCTGCAGTCCGTTTCACCGGCATCCTGTATTTCAGGAGGCCGGCATCTTCAGTGTGGGCACCGCCCTGTGATAGCTTGCGGCTGCACAGCCGGGTACCCAGTGCGCATGCGTGAGTAGCACTGCGCTTCGTGAATGGTCCTGTAGTCTTCTGGGACATGTGACGTGTCTCAAAAGACTTTGGAGAGGGAGAGAGGACACCTTCCGCTTCCGATCGCCTAGGCAATCAAACCGGAAGTGGGAGCGGGTACATGTCAAATTCGGGTACTCGCTCCCCCCTGCCCCCCAAAGGTGCCAATCCTTAATGGGTAGTGGGGGATCAGTCCTTTAAGCGGAATGCACAGAGCAATGTTGATGGGCAAAGTGCATTAACCCATAGAGGCCAATCAGATATTACAGTTCATCAGTTAAATACAGTTGGAACAATAAATAATATTGTTGTAAATTACTGCACTTTGCCTTTAAATAAACATTATAAACAGAACAAAATAAAGTGAAAAGCAAAGAAAGATATATTTCTGACATTCATTTGTCATAAAATGTTGTAACTTGCAGCACCATAGGATAATTGCACTTCCGAAACTCTCACATTAAATTTCCCCATGAAATAAATCTTTAAGACACAGAGGAGGAGATGGAATGTGTTCTGCAACCAGAGGTCACAATAAATATGTCCTGACTGGGGAACAATTAATCTTTCTAAACCAAAAGTAATTCTTTCTCTCTATTATTGTTTATTGTTATGTTCTGCTATGCTTTGTCTGCATGAAAGTGGCCTGTTTAATGGGAACTAGATGTATGGAAGAGCAAGATAAAAATGTGCACTCAGCTTTCTGAACTTCACCCTACTTGGCACATAGTCTTAATCTACAACACAACTGGCTTGGTGCTTACAGGGGATTTATGTTACAATTGTAGCAGAGCATTACATGCTCAGGATAAAGAATGAATTACACCAGTTTTCACACTAAATCATTTTTCTTTCTACAATAAATACATTTAAGGGAATTCTACCAGCACAGCATATATGTTCATGTTATAACATCAACATTGCAATACCAATACAAAACAATAATTATATTTGACAATCCAATATCATCTCACTTGAAAAGTCTCCTTTCATGTTGTGAGTTCTGCCTGCCTGTTGGCTATCTCTTTCCATAACTTCCTGGATTCCCTGCATGCTTTGCAGCTTCTCTCTGCTGTCTATTATTTGTTTATTATTATTATACAGGAATTATGTAGCGTCAACAGTTAGCTCAGCACTTTACAACAGTTACTCTTAGTTTCTAAGGACTACATATCCCATGGTACCTTGCTGCCTTCAAGCAGTGTTTCCTGTACTGACTCTGCCTCCGGAAACTCCTCTTCTCAGCAACTCTGTAGATCAGAAAGCAGGTTCTATGAAATGTGTGTCACAGAATTCAAGGAAGTAAATAAGTGTGGATCTTCACAGTAAGTTTACATACTTCAAGGTCATGTAGGTTAACATGAATAGGCTAGAAATAATTGAAATACAATGTGGAAATGAATACATGGTTTTAAGGTTTGACCATTGATAACATTTAAAGAATAACTTCACTTTTGTTGAGAAAAACCATTCCCCTATGAGTGATCAATGTATATTGCAAGGATTTTAACAAATTTTGTTATTCTGAAGAAACAGAAAAAATGACGGCAGAAGAGAGGTCCATTGAGTCTGCCAGTTTTTTTTGTTTTTTTTTTTTTTAGGTTTTTTCATTACATTTTTGTCTGAGTATAGATCTAAATTTGTTCCAAGCATGCTTGAAACCATTTACTGTTGACTGACTCACTACCTCTGCTGGAAGTTTATTCCAAGCATCAGCTACCCTTTCAGTACAATAATACTAAGATTAACAATAAATAGTGCTACATGCAGTCCAATATCAATCTGGACATACTGTTTCTGTGCCACCAAATCTTCCCAAAGTGCTTCACCTCCCATGTCACCGCAATGCACTCACCAAAGATCCATGACCCTCTTATTTAAAAGAAAAGGTCATAAAGCGCTATTTGCCCCAGATGCTCTCCAACTTCTGTTCCTGACTTTTCCTCCAATCATCACTTGTCCTGTGTACCCAATGTCTCTCCATCAATGCCGTGGTTCAGGAAGTGGAACGGCGGTGCACAGACGCTGAGTGTATTGGTGCCGAGATTTTAGGCACCACACTTTGTAAGTGTAAAATTTTTAATACTTTTTATTGCTAAGTCTTAATTAAATACTGCACATTGAGACTCTGTCTCTGTGGTCCTTGAGTGACAGCAATGGAAAGACATCGGGTACACAGGACAAGTGGTGATTGGAGGAAGAGTGAGGACCAGCAGGTGGAGAGCATCTGTGCAAACAGCGCTTTATGACCTTTTCTATTAAATCAGAGGGTCATGAATCTTTGGTGAGTGCGTTGTGGTGACACAGGAGATGAAGCACTTTGGGAAGATTTGGTGGCACAGAAACAGTATTACCATATTGTGTTGGACTGCATGTAGCACTATTTATTGTTTATGTTATTTTGGTTCATGGCATTTGGATACTGAGTGCGGGGAGTCTATGGGGATTGTAAGCGCCCACTTATATTTTCACTTTCCCAACTAGGAGCACCACCAGGTGCTCTTAAAGGGGCAGCTACAAAAATAATTTTCAACGCACCTGCTGTTAAAGAGGCAGCTACAAAAATATTGCAACACACCTCTATTGTGCAGGTGTACATAAGGTTTCACTATATTTGTATTTCACTTTTGGTAATATATGAATGGTATTATGGTTCT